GTGAGTATTGTGTTAACCCTGTGTGTAGTGTAGTGTGTTAACCCTGTGTGTAGTGTGTAGTGTAGTGTGTTAACCCTGTGTGTAGTGTAGTGTGTTAACCCTGTGTGTAGTGTGTTAACCCTGTGAGTATTGTGTTAACCCTGTGAGTAGTGTGTTAACCCTGTGAGTATTGTGTTAACCCTGTGAGTATTGTGTTAACCCTGTGTGTAGTGTGTTAACCCTGTGAGTATTGTGTTAACCCTGTGAGTATTGTGTTAACCCTGTGAGTATTGTGTTAACCCTGTGTGTAGTGTAGTGTGTTAACCCTGTGTGTAGTGTGTTACCCCTGTGTGTAGTGTAGTGTGTTAACCCTGTGTGTAGTGTGTTAACCCTGTGGTTGTAGTGTGTTAACCCTGTGTGTAGTGTGTTAACCCTGTGTGTAGTGTAGTGTGTTAACCCTGTGTGTAGTGTAGTGTGTTAACCCTGTGTGTAGTGTGTTAACCGTGTGTGTAGTGTAGTGTGTTAACCCTGTGTGTAGTGTGTTAACCCTGTGTTGTAGTGTGTTAACCGTGTGTGTAGTGTAGTGTGTTAACCCTGTGTGTAGTGTGTTAACCCTGTGTTGTAGTGTGTTAACCTGTGTGTAGTGTAGTGTGTTAACCCTGTGTGTAGTGTGTTAACCCTGTGTGTAGTGTGTTAACCCTGTGTGTAGTGTGTTAACCCTGTGTGTAGTGTAGTGTGTTAACCCTGTGTTGTAGTGTGTTAACCGTGTGTGTAGTGTAGTGTGTTAACCCTGTGTGTAGTGTGTTAACCCTGTGTTGTAGTGTGTTAACCCTGTGTGTAGTGTGTTACCCCTGTGTGTAGTGTAGTGTGTTAACCCTGTGTTGTAGTGTGTTAACCCTGTGTGTAGTGTGTAGTGTGTTAACCCTGTGTGTAGTGTGTTAACCCTGTGTGTAGTGTGTTAACCCTGTGTGTAGTGTAGTGTGTTAACCCTGTGTGTAGTGTAGTGTGTTAACCCTGTGTGTAGTGTGTTAACCCTGTGTGTAGTGTAGTGTGTTAACCCTGTGTGTAGTGTAGTGTGTTAACCCTGTGTGTAGTGTGTTAACCCTGTGTGTAGAGTAGTGTGTTAACCCTGTGTGTGTAGTGTGTTAACCCTGTGTTGTAGTGTGTTAACCCTGTGTGTAGTGTGTTAACCCTGTGTGTAGTGTAGTGTGTTAACCCTGTGTGTAGTGTGTTAACCCTGTGTGTAGTGTGTTAACCCTGTGTGTAGTGTAGTGTGTTAACCCTGTGTTGTAGTGTGTTAACCCTGTGTGTAGTGTGTTAACCCTGTGTGTAGTGTAGTGTGTTAACCCTGTGTTGTAGTGTGTTAACCCTGTGTGTAGAGTAGTGTGTTAACCCTGTGTGTAGTGTGTTAACCCTGTGTGTAGAGTAGTGTGTTAACCCTGTGTTGTAGTGTGTTAACCCTGTGTTGTAGTGTGTTAACCCTGTGTGTAGTGTGTTAACCCTGTGTGTAGTGTAGTGTGTTAACCCTGTGTGTAGTGTGTTAACCCTGTGTTGTAGTGTGTTAACCCTGTGTTTGTAGTGTGTTAACCCTGTGTTGTAGTGTGTTAACCCTGTGTTGTAGTGTGTTAACCCTGTGTTGTAGTGTGTTAACCCTGTGTGTAGTGTAGTGTGTTAACCCTGTGTGTAGTGTGTTAACCCTGTGTGTAGTGTGTTAACCCTGTGTTTGTAGTGTGTTAACCCTGTGTGTAGTGTGTTAACCCTGTGTGTAGTGTGTTAACCCTGTGTTGTAGTGTGTTAACCCTGTGTTGTAGTGTGTTAACCCTGTGTTGTAGTGTGTTAACCCTGTGTTGTAGTGTGTTAACCCTGTGTTGTAGTGTGTTAACCCTGTGTTGTAGTGTGTTAACCCTGTGTGTGGTACTACAGTATTCATGTCTGAACATGCACTCCCATGGTAGTCCTCCAGCTGAGGCATATGACAGCCAGTTGGGTGCTAAGTGACTGTTACCCCGGCAACACAAATCCCTGTCCCTCCAGCAGGTTAGTTCCAGAAGGTCCATCCATTCCAAACACTCAACAGAACTGGCAAGTGTTCTCCTGCAGAACAGGAAGGATTTCATTCAATAGGCATTTTTATCTTTAAAGTTTAAACTGTCACCAGTCATGTTATTGAACCTTTATTTTACCAGGGAGTCATACTGAGACCAAGGTCTCTTTTACAGATCATAATTATGTTTGTAATAACCATGTTATATAAGACTGTTGTACAGAAAAAGACAGGACGTTTTGCCACAAAAAACTGTTCTGAAACAAATGTGAAAGAGAACCAATTTCAAGTAGACCTAAATGTATTTCTACAACAATGTACAAAAGAGCAGAGGCAAAACAGAGAATAAATATATAAAATGCATATAGGCTATGATAAAGGCTATATAAATCATGAATTATTCAACACTCCCATATGCTCGGAAGGAGTTACGTGTCAAAGTTATCTAATCATGAAGAATGTTATCTATTTGTAGGAGGGGCCCAAAATAAAACGTGTGGCCACGAGCAAGCCGCCAAACTATGCGAAAGTTTTCTCTGGCGCCCGGCGATACGCAACACACATAGATCAGTCACGTGGATCGCGCAGACCCTCTACAACCTATTTCCGTGCTCCTTCCTCTCTATTACATAACATCGGATTCTATTCGCAACTCGTTTTGGCAGCCCTCCAGACGTCCTCAGGGAACCGGTGCTCGCGCTGTGTGACGTTATGTCATTGCTCGCGCGCTGGAGCGCAACGCAACAAGCGCGAGCGTTTTGAGTTTCCACTAGTTACCACAGCCACAGAGTTAAAGTTGTCGGTATCGTACAAATGTGCTTTTGGTCTTAATTTAAGGTTAGGCATAAGGTTATCAGTTTACTCAAGGTTAGGGTTAAGTTTAAAATCACATTTTAAGAAGAGAAATTGTAGAAATAGATGGGGGGTTGATGCTTTGTGGCTGTGGTAACTAGTGACGAACAGCTGTTTCTGCAGAAGCAAGAGAAACACGCTTCTCTGAGCTCCCTGCCATCAAGGACCTCTATTCCAGGTGGTTTCAGAGGAAGGCCCCTAAAAATTGTCAGACTCCATCCACCCAAGGCATAGACCGTTCTCTCTGTTACCGCAAGGCAAGCAGACTGCAGTGGCGTGTATTCATGGATGCCAAGGGAAGCCTGGCTTCCAAAAAAATTGACCAAGATAAACAAAACAAATGATGTATCTTTCATCTCTCTGTGTTGTCATAATTTTCCTTCAATTCGTAAGAGGTAGAATGTACTGTAGCGCCCCTCTGTCTCCTTATGTGTACGCCATCTAACTGATCTGGTCTGTGGTCCTCTGTAGCTCAGCTGGTAGAGCACGGCGCTTGTAACGCCAAGGTAGTGGGTTCGATCCCCGGGACCACCCATACACAAAAAAATTTATGCACGCATGACTGTAAGTCGCTTTGGATAAAAGCGTCTGCTAAATGGCATATTATTATTATAAAGAGTATGACACTGTAGCTGCCCGTAGCATTGAATATGAGGGAAGCCAGCGAGCATTTGGCCTCTCTTGATAAAAAAAGAGTTAAAATAATAGCAAATCATCGTTGAGCTTAACTGAGTGAACTCAACTGTGAATGGTCCTGGCACACCTAAATAAAAAAAGTGGAAAGGGATGCCAGTTTGGATTTGGCTTCACTCCTATCACAGAGAAATACATAATTGACAGAAACAACTTAAATTGTTGCGTCTTGTTGTGTTGCTGTCCTCCTGTGGCTAGCTAGCTAGCTAAAATTGGCCCCTATATTAGCCACGGATGGAGATAGGGATTTGGACTTTACTTAATTCTCCGTACTGGCCAATGATTATAATGGCGATTCTGATGATCCAACCATAAAATACATTGTGCCCCTGGACTGAGAGGATGAAAGTTCAATATGTAGCTAGATGTAGAAGGCTAATGCTAATTTGCTAACATTGCCCATGAAAGGAAGTTAGGCTAGTGAGCAAGCATTTTAGCTAGGTAGCCTAGGACAACAAAAAATAAAAGCGTGTATTGTATGACAGAGTAATTGACTGTTTCGTCAACATGAACGAGAGGAGGATGGCATTGGCATTTCTCTACAAGTAGGGTGAGTCATGTTTTTTTCTACTTGCACACACGTACACACACACACACACACACACACACAAATCAGAACCATGGACAGCCTCATCATATTTAGCTTACGTTGATTGGACTAAATTGTTTTTTGGTATCGTTTAGTTGTCACTGTATTAGACTAAGCAGAGGTGATTTGATGATGTTGAAATGTTGTAGTTGAACTGGTGTTGGAATAGTGGAGGCAGCTTTGCGACTTGCCGTAACGCTCCGTGTTTCTAAATCAATAGTTGTTTAGTGGTCTGAAAATGTCAGAAACATTAACTTGCTTGACCGTGCTGTAGGTCACGTAACTGTTTGTTACATGCAATATACTTTGTGGTTGCTCTCCGGTTTTGTGATTAAACAAAGGTGTGGTTGAATTTATTCTGCCACTGTGTCTTCTTATTGTCTCAGCCTTTAGGCCAATATATCACGGTGTCAAGGCACATGAACTAACAGGTTATAGAGCAAACAACGCAATTATCACAACACATCGGTTGTAATATGGCTTTTTTCCTGGCTTGCCTTCCCCAGTGATTTGGCCCCACACCTACTACTTATATTTGTGTTTATCTGCGTTGTTGGAAAAGGACCGTAAGCATTTCACTGTTAGTCTACGCCTGTTATTTACGAAGCAAGTGACAAAATAAAATTAGATTTTTCAACCGTCAGTAAAACAGTACACTGTGTCGCCACAAAAAAAAAACAGACCATTCTAGTGGACCATCATTGAATGTCACGTGACTACAGAAAGTCAGGCTTTTATGCACTCACACGTACCCCAGGTTACTATGACATACTGTAGGTTACACACCCCATAGTGAGACTGTGGGTTACACACCATTAGTTTGGATCAAGTTTAAATGTCAGTCTAAGGATGGTGCTGCCACTTAGTGGTGAGATATGGTACTACAGACAGCCAGGGCCATGTGAAGCTGATGGCAGCTGCTCTGCTAAGCTCCAGGAAGAGGCTATCATTCACTGTGCTGTTGCTGAGCTCTGGGGCAGATTACATAAAGCCTTACATAATGTTACCATTTAGCCACATGTGAGCCGAAAAAGTCCTAAAGACCCGGGTGCCTGCCTGGAAAAAAGGTGGGCCGAACATGTGGCTGCTGTGTTAGGTGGGAGGGAGGGATAGGAGGAGGGAGGGGTTAGGAGGAGGGAGGGGTTAGGAGGGAGGGAGGGGTTAGGAGGAGGAGGGAGGGGGTTAGGAGGAGGGAGGGGTTAGGAGGAGGGAGGGAGGGGTTAGGAGGAGGGAGGGAGGGGTTAGGAGGAGGGAGGGGTTAGGAGGGAGGGAGGGTGTTAGGAGGGAGGGAGGGAGGGGTTAGGAGGAGGGAGGGGTTAGGAGGGAGGGAGGGGTTAGGAGGAGGGAGGGGTTAGGAGGGAGGGGTTAGGAGGGAGGGGTTAGGAGGAGGGAGGGGTTAGGAGGGAGGGAGGGGTTAGGAGGAGGGAGGGGTTAGGAGGAGGAGGGGTGAGGAGGAGGGAGGTGTTAGGAGGAGGGAGGGGTTAGGAGGGAGGGAGGGGTTAGGAGGAGGGAGGGAGGGGGTTAGGAGGAGCGAGGTGGTTAGGAGGAGGGAGGGGTTAGGAGGGAGGGAGGGGGTTAGGAGAAGGAAGGAGTTAGGAGGAGGGAGGGAAGGGGTTAGGAGGGAGGGAGGGATAGGAGGAGGGAGGGGTTAGGGGAGGGGTAGGGGTTAGGAGGAGGGAGCGGTTAGGAGGGAGGGAGGGGTTAGGAGGGAGGGAGGGGTTAGGTGGGAGGGAGGGGTTAGGAGGAGGGAGGGGTTAGGAGGGAGGGAGGGGTTAGGAAGAGGGAGGGGTTAGGAGGGAGGGAGGGGTTAGGAGGAGGGAGGGAAAGGGTTAGGAGGAGCGAGGTGTTAGGAGGAGGGAGGGGTTAGGAGGGAGGGAGGGGGTTAGGAGAAGGAAGGAGTTAGGAGGAGGGAGGGGTTAGGAGGAGGGAGGAGTTAGGAGGAGGGAGGGGTGAGGAGGAGGGAGGGGTTGGGAGGAGGGAGGTGTTAGGAGGTGGAAGGGGTTAGGAGGAGGGAGGGGTTAGGAGGAGGGAGGGGTTAGGTGGGAGGGAGGGATAGGAGGAGGGAGGGGTTAGGAGGAGGGAGGGGTTAGGTGGGAGGGGAGGGATAGGAGGAGGGAGGGGTTAGGAGGGAGAGAGGGGTTAGGAGGAGGGAGGGGTTAGGAGGAGGGAGGGGTTAGGAGGGAGAGAGGGGTTAGGAGGAGGGAGGGGTTAGGAGGGAGGGAGGGGTTAGGAGGAGGGGGGTGGTTAGGAGGAGGGAAATGGGGGAAGGGGGGGCATTTGAACCATAGACTTGCCCGTAACTTGCAAAGAGAGAAGGGTGGAGCTCTTCGTTCCGGTTCCGATCTCTTCCCTTAACACATATGGACCCGGAACTTAATCGAACATCTGACAATTACGCAAGACTTTAGTTCCGGGTTAACCGAGATTAGACAACGTTTGGCAACTGAACGTGGCCCAGGTGAGAGGGGATGAGTGACAGACTCTCTAGCTCCCCCGGTAGGTACTGTAGGAGAAGCGGCTGCAGAGCAGAGGAACATGGAACTTCTGACTGTGGTCCGTTATGGTGAAGCCTATCTCGACATATGGGTAGAAAGAGGTCTCTCCCAGACTCTCCCGGACTCGGCCCGTCTCAAAGCGCATCTTGGACACCGCTGGAGTGAAAGCTTCTCTGGTGATGAGTCCTGGGCAACGCCCATCATCATTAGTAGTCCCTGTGGTGAGAAGGTTCCAGAGTGAAGTGGAGGGATCCAGGCGAGGCAGGCTGAGGGCCATGTGGGCTCCGGGGACTCCAATCCCGGTGTTCAGGACATGAGTGGTCAGGGGGCTGTATGGAGCTGCCATCTTTGCACACTTGTATTCACCCAAAAGATGATCCTTCGTGTGCTGTAATCTGCTGGTGCTCGTGCACGCTGATTTCAAAGTCGACCCAAACAAGTTTCCCCTCTAATGAGAAGTATGGCATTTATGGTGAATTAACCCATGTTTTGACTGCAGTTCGGCCATGCGTTGCCGCCCGATAGCCTCCAATTAGTCGTCTGCCATTGTACATGTTGACAGTCACTCTCCACACATACGGTATGTATATAAATGTTGACAGTCACACTCCACACATACGGTATGTATATAAATGTTGACAGTCACACTCCACACATACGGTATGTATATAAATGTTGACAGTCACACTCCACACATACGGTATGTATATAAATGTTGACAGTCACACTCCACACATACGGTATGTATATAAATGTTGACAGTCACACTCCACACACATCAGTACCTCACTAACCACAATAAAGGAAGATGATGTTAGGAGCTTTACGCTGACTCACTGGTGTTCGGTAGCTTTTTATTCACAACTGTTTAATGAACAGAGTTTATGTTTCAGAGTACAATGTTTATTAAGCTTATATTCCAATATTTATATCAAAAATGTAACCTCAATCTGTTATTACTTTTTTTACAGTATTTCTACTATTATTTATATTATATTATTATTATTATTATTATTATTATTATTATTATTATTATATGTTTCTACTTCTTCTTCTTCTTCATCCCCAGGTGCTGACAAACACAGAGCAGACAAGGACAACAAGATGGCCGTCGGGACGACCTAAGAGGAAAAAACGATTAGAGAAATTAACTGTCGTACATAGTAGAGTATTATTTAAAGGTCACACTCTCTTCTGCTACAATTCCAATCATGTAGGATATCAATTGGACATGGAAATTCAAGGGGAAAATGTGATATTTTGTCTCCTATATCAAGGTTAACATTTGTTCTATTTGGATTTCATTCAATAGACCAGGGATGGGCCACTTTGATAGGGGTGGGGGGCCACAAAACATCAGAACTCATCATGAGGGCCACAGTGGCTCGCGGGTCTGCGTTACTAATAATAATAATAATAATAATATGCCATTTAGCAGACACTTTTATCCAAAGCGACCTACAGTCATGTGTGCATACATTTTTACGTATGGGTGGTCCCGGGATCGAAACCCACTACCCTGGCGTTACAAGCGCCATGCTCTACCAATTGAGCTACTACATGTGCATAACCCCCCCCCACCACCCACCACCACCACACCACCAACCCCCCCCCCCACCCCCCCCACCACACATCACCCACAACCACCACCTCACCATACCCACCTACCCCACCACCCAACCAACATACCACACAACCACCACACCACCCACCACCCCACCACACCCACAACCAACACATCCAACCACCACCACTCCAACCACCCACCAACCACCACCATCCAAACCACCACCCACCCCCACCACCACCATCACCACCTCCACCACACCAACACCACCACCATCACCACCACCACCTCCAACACCACCACCAGTTCTACACATTTTGCCATGAGGCGTGGAGAAAATGTTGCAGTTTTAAAGCACATTTCCTGCAATTCTACACATTTTGCAATGGGGTGGACGTGTTTAATATGATATCTGAGTGAGACTGAATAACACAATCAATGGGGGCCCCCTGGCTAGTAATTTGACCATGATTACTACATTTCGATATCTGGCTGCTAGACTCATTTAGCAATCTGACATGGTTAATCTGAGTGACTATCAGTGACTGACATAACGAGAGAAAAACTGCTGATGCGCAATCACATTTCGAAATTGCACTTGGGTATTCTACTACTCGCTTTGGATAAAAGCGTCTGCTAAATGGCATATTATATTATTATATTATACTGCAGTACGTTGAGACCCACGACTGAGTTTCAAAACAATATCTATATATTGTATTTTTATTATGATGTTTTTGTTATTGATCCGAGGGCCTTCGAAAGGCTTTCCACACAGCTGGCCGTCCCTGCAGTAGACCTATACACCCTGTGGATTTACCTGACTGATCCCACCTGTTCGTCCCTGCAGTAGACCTATACACCCTGTGGATCTACCTGACTGATCCCACCTGTTCGTCCCTGCAGTAGACCTATACACCCTGTGGATCTACCTGACTGATCCCACCTGTTCGTCCCTGCAGTAGACCTATACACCCTGTGGATCTACCTGACTGATCCCACCTGTTCGTCCCTGCAGTAGACCTATACACCCTGTGGATTTACCTGACTGATCCCACCTGTTCGTCCCTGCAGTAGACCTATACACCCTGTGGATTTACCTGACTGATCCCACCTGTTCGTCGGCAAGGAAGTGATGGGATCTAAAGACACAGAAAATACCAAACTCCCCATGAGAAGATGCAAATACACATAAACAAAGTAGAAACAAAGTAGAAACAAAGTATAAATAAAGTATACAATATATACAAACAAACTCACCTGTCTTCGTGGCTAGCTCGATGCTAAAGTCAGAGAACTCGTGTCTCTTGCTAACGGAGCAGACGTGAGATCCGAAGTCTTGCGTTCTGACCTCTGTGATGCAGAGAGTGATCCTCCTAGGTGTGTAGTCCAGTGAGTAGCCCTGGGTGCAGTTCTGGTAGGCCTTGAAATAACATAACAATATAACAATATACGCCATTTAGCAGACGCTTTTTATCCAAAGCAGTTTACAGTCATGCATGCATACATTTTTCGTGAGGGTGGTCCCAGCGGGAATCGAATCCACAACCCTTGGCGTTGCAAGCGCCATGCTCTATCAAAACTGTATTGTCTATTAGGTTTTCACAAAATGGACGTTTTGTCTTTGGCGCTCTGGCTTACAGGGTAAAACACAAGCATAAAAAAAAAAAAAAGACATATATAACATTCCACACCTTATGTTTGATGTAGTGACAGAGGAGTGTGTTGCCTGGTCCTCTCCACTGGACAGACAGCTGTGGGATGTCCTGGTGGTCTTCATAGCTGTAGGAACATGGGAACTGTACTGTGTTGCCCGGCTGAGACAGGACTTTAACTGCACTGCCTAGGGTCAGAGTCACATATCAGATACCCACGCAGCCCCATAGCCAGTGCTCACATGAGACATACCAAAGTATACTTGGTTATTTACTCAGACATGATAAAAAAAAGGGTTATTATTTAATTTTTGATACATTTTACATAGTAATTATACACTTTTGTAATTGAGAAGTCAGCATTATACCAGGTATTATACATTATGTTGAATTCTATTTATATCATGATCTAAATCTTTTGTCAGGAGACTTACCTCGGACAACCAGGTGTGACATCACCAGTCCAAGAGACAGTGCTGCTATCTTTCTACCAATAACAGGCAACAGTTTGCCCCACATTGGGCTGGCAGGCGACTGGTTATTATAACTATACACCCATTTATTTCTCTGATCGGGATCAGAGATACCTCAGACTACAGAAGAGGAGTCACGTCTGTTAAATAAATATCACTTTTGTTTTTTAATAACCTGTCCTGACTTGAGCGTTGGCATTGTGTACTAAATCCGTAGTTACCATTACAGGAAGGTACCTAATGTTTGGGATCATGTAATTCAATCACACCTGCAATGGTGGGGGGGGGCCACCCCTACAGCCATATGTATTTTTTTTATAGCATTTATTTGAGGGGGAAAGTGGAAGCTGAGAAGAAAGCGTATTTTTGTTAAAAGTAAAACCAAAGCAGTTCAGCCATCGGAAAAAAATAATGAGGATTTTATTTCAAAATGGCTTCCTATGGGCTCAGGAACCAATCACAACGGCAGGGGTGGACCATTTTGAGGGATTTATAGTAAAGACATGTAATTTAACTGTAAAAAAATGTATTACCTTTTAACGTGCCATGAACACAACCAGTCATTTAGTTTTCATCTGATTGTCAAACAAATCACTTCAAAAAGGAGATAATCTTCGCACGTTCATACCAAAATAATTCCAGCATCCGAACGGTGCGGTGTGCACCCGCCAACTTTTCCTCAGTTGCAACTATGAACTGAAACTATCTCACCGGAGAAAGCATCCGAGCGAGCGTAATAGAGTCCCTCTGTCTTACTATGTGCTTTTCCTTCACTCTGCGGTCCGACTCATCCCAAACCATCTCAATTGGGTTGAGGTCGGGGGATTGTGGAGGCCAGGTCATCTGATGCAGCACTCCATCGCTCTCCTTCTTGGTCAAATAGCCTTTACACAGCCTGGAGGTGTGTTGGGTCATTGTCCTGTTGAAAAACAAATGATAGTCCCACTAAGCCCAAACCAGATGGGATGGCGTATCGCTGCAGAATGCTGTGGTAGCTATGCTGGTTAAGTGTGCCTTGAATTCTAAATAAATCACAGACAGTGTCACCAGCAAAGCACCCCAACACCATAACACCTCCTCCTCCATGCTTTACGGTGGGAAATACACATGTGGAGATAATCCGTTCATCCACACCGCGTCTCACAGACACGGGGGTTGGAACCAAAAATCTCCAATTTGGACTCCAGACCAAAGGACACATTTCCATTTCTAATGTCCATTGGTCGTGTTTCTTGGCCCAAGCAGGTCTCTTCTTCTTATTGGTGTCCTTTAGTAATGCTTTCTTTGCAGCAATTCGACCATGAAGGCCTGATTCATACAGTCCCCTCTGAACAGTTGATGTTGAGATGTGTCTGTGACTTGAACTCTGTGAAGCATTTATTTGGGCTACACTTTCTGAGGCTCGTAACTCTAATGAACTTATTCTGTACAGCAGAGGTAACTCTGGGTCTTCCTTTCCTGTGGTGGTCCTCATGAGATCCAGTTTATCATAGCGCTTGATGGTTTTTGCGACTGCGCTTGAAGAAACTTTCAAAGTTCTTGAAATGTTCTGGGTTGACTGACCTTCATGTTTTAAAGTAATGATGGACTGTCATTTCTCTTTGCTTATTTGAGCTGTTCTTGCCATAATATGGACTTGGTCTTTTACCAAATAGAGCTATCTTCTGTATACCCCCCCCTACCTTGTCACAACACAACTGATTGGCTCAAACGCATTAAGAAGGAAATCAATTCCACAAATTAACTTTTAAGAAGGCACACCTGTTAATTGAAATGCATTCCAGGTGCCTACCTCATGAAGCTGGTTGAGAAAATGCCAAGAGTGTGCAAAGCTGTCATCAAGGCAAAAGGTGGCTATTTGAAGAATTGCAAATATAAAATGTATTTAGATTTGTTTAACACTTTTTTGGTTACTACATGATTCCATCTGTGTTATTCCATAGTTTTGATGTCTTCACTATTATTCTACATTTAAACTTTTTTTTTTTTTATAAAGAAAAACCCTTGAATGCGTAGGTGTGTCCAAACTTTATATATATTATACATATGTTTTTTAAATATATTTCCCTTTATTATTTCCCCCTAACCCCACCACCCCTCCCCTAATTGATGGACAACAACACTTAGGCTTCTTAGTTTATACATACTGTTTACATTTTACGGACACAGTACATATTACGTAAATTATCTTTCGTTTGTTTTTAGTCCCATCCTTCAGCTACCCTCAAACCCTCCCATCTATCTCTGAAGACCATCCAGTTTTGATTTCTATTTGGAAGTATGTTTTGAGGTGTCTGTCCTATATCTGAGATATATATATATATATTTTTTTATCACTTGTGGATGCTACCATGATTACGGATAATCCTGAGTGAATCGTAAATAATGACACTTGAGAAAGTTACAGAGGGTCAAAGATCATACCCCCAAGACATGCTAACCTCCCCTGTTACTGGTAATGGTAAGAGGTTAGATCATACTCCCAAGACATGCTAACCTCCCCTGTTACTGGTAATGGTAAGAGGTTAGATCATACCCCCAAGACATGCTAACCTCCCCTGTTACTGGTAATGGTAAGAGGTTAGATCATACCCCCAAGACATGCTAACCTCCCCTGTTATTGCTAATGGTGAGAGGTTAGCTCATACCCCCAAGACATGCTAACCTCCCCTGTTATTGATCAATCAATTAATCAAATGTATTTATAAAGCCCTTTTTACATCAGCAGATGTCACAAAGTGCTATACAGAAACTCAGCCCCAAACCCCAAACAGCAAGCAATGCAGATGTAGAAGGGAGGGGTGACACTTTGTTATTGTTCAAACTGCAGATTGCCCTTTTAAATATCACAAGGTGAATAGAAAAATATTTAAAAAAGAGAATATGAAGCAGAAGATTTTAATGCAAATCATTTGATTCATTCTCAGTGCTGCACCACACTTAGGTTAGCTATAATCATTACAGTGGGGAAAAAAAGTATTTAGTCAGCCACCAATTGTGCAAGTTCTCCCACTTAAAAAGATGAGAGAGGCCTGTAATTTTCATCATAGGTACACGTCAACTATGACAGACAAATTGAGAAGAAAAAAATCCAGAAAATCACATTGTAGGATTTTTAATGAATTTATTTGCAAATTATGGTGGAAAATAAGTATTTTTAAGTGGTAGAACTTGCACAATTGGTGGCTGACTAAATACTTTTTTTAGTATGAAAATGTATGCACTCACTAACTGTAAGTCGCTCTGGATAAGAGCGTCTGCTAAATGACTAAAAATGTAAAATGTAGGATAGTAAGCCCACTTCATCAACGAACAATGGAGGAAGTAAGAATAAATGATTTACTTCCTCCATCTGTTCTAAGCAGAGACTGAATGTGTTTTGCCCTACAGTATCTTCTGTAGTAGTTAAACAAGTCCTTGGCTGTGTTCAGATACCCATACTAACATACTGAATACCACATACTTAATGACTACGTACTATATGCTAAATGGAAATGGAAATGGAAGAAAACTAAACTCCCTGCCGACCTGGCATCTTTTCACTCCCTCCTCTCTACATTTTCTTCATCTGCTTCTGCTGCTAAGGCCACTTTCTACCACTCTAAATTCCAAGCATCTGCCTCTAACCCTAGGAAGCTCTTTGCCACATTTTCCTCCCTGCTGAATCCTACCCCCCCCCCCCCCCCCCCCCCCCCCCCCTCAATACCTCTACTTCAACTCTCTTCAAATGTTGTCTCAATACCTCTACTTCAACGCTCTTCAAATGTTGTCTCAATACCTCTACTTCAGCTCTCTTCAAATGTTGTCTCAATACCTCTACTTCAGCTCTCTTCAAATGTTGTCTCAATACCTCTACTTCAACTCTCTTCAAATGTTGTCTCAATACCTCTACTTCAGCTCTCTTCAAATGTTGTCTCAATACCTCTACTTCAACTCTCTTCAAATGTTATCTCAATACCTCTACTTCAACTCTCTTCAAATGTTATCTCAATACCTCTACTTCAGCTCTCTTCAAATGTTGTGACTGCAGGCCGCCCAACAACCTGCCCGCTTGACCCCATCCCCTCCTCCCTTCTCCAGACCATCTCCGGTGACCTTCTCCCCTACCTCACCTCGCTGATCAACTCATCTTGACCGCTGGCCATGTCCCTTCCGTCTTCAAGAGAGCGAGAGTTGCTCCCCTTCTCAAAAACCAACACTCGACCCCACTGATGTCAACAAACTACAGACCAGTATCCCTTCTTTCTTTTCTTTCCAAAACTATTGAGCGTGCCGTCTTTAGCCAACTCTCTTGCTATCTCTCTCAGAATGACCTTCTTGATCCAAACCAATCAGGTTTCAGGACTGGTCCATTCACTGAGACTGCTCTTCTCTGTGTCACGGAGACTCTCCGCACTGCTAAAAGCTAACTCTCTCTCCTCTGCTCTTGTCCTTCTAGAACCTGTCTGCTGCCTTTGATACTGTGAACCATCAGATCCTCCTCTCCACCCTCTCCGAGCTGGGCATCTCCGGCGCGGCTCACTCCTGGATTGCGTCCTACCTGACTGGTCGCTCCTACCAAGTGGCGTGGCGAGAAGCGGTCTCCGCACCACGTGCTCTCACCACTGGTGTCCCCCAGGGCTCAGTTCTAGGCCCCCTCCTTTTCTCCCTATACACCAAGTCACTTGGCTCTGTCATATCCTCACATGGGTCTCTCCTATCAGTGCTACGCTGACGATACACAACTAATCTTCTCCTTTCCCCCTTCTGATAACCAGGTGGCGAATCGCATCTCTGCATGTCTGGCAGACATATCAGTATGGATGACGGATCACCACCTCAAGCTGAACCCTGGCAAGACGGAGCTGCTCTTCCTCGCCGGGGAAGGACTGGCCCGTTCCATGATCTCGCCATCACGGTTGACAACTCCGCTGTGTCCTCCTCCCAGAGTGGCGAAGAGCCTAGGCGTGACCCTGGACAACACCCTGTCGTTCTCCGCCAACATCAAGGCGGTGACCCCGCTCCTGCAGGTTCATGCTCTACAACATTCGGAGAGTAACGACCCTGCCTTACCACAGGAAGCGGCACAGGTCCTAATCCAGGCACTTGTCATCTCCCGTCTGGACTACTTGAAACTCGCTGTTGGCTGGCCCTCCCCTGCCTGTGCCATTAAACCCCTACAACTCATCCAGAATGCCGCAGCCCGTCTGGTGTTCAACCCTTCCCAAGTTCTCTCACGTCACCCCCCCTCCTCCGCACACTCCAAGCACTCACTGGCTTCAACTGGGGACGATCCTCGCGTAGCCACCCGGGTTTAGGTAGTGGGAGGGAGGGTGGGAAGGGAGGGAGAGGGGTTAGGAGGGAGGGAGGTTTTAGGTGGGAGGGAGTGGGGGGGTTAGGTGGGAGGGAGGGTGGGGTTAGGTGTTAGGTAGGGGTTCGGATGGGAGGAAGGTGTTAGGAGGGTATGTAGGTTTTAGTTAGTATGTATTGTTAGGAGGAGGGAGGTTTTTAGGCGGGAGTTATGTTTTAGGTGTGCTTAGGTTGAGGGTTAGGAGTTATTTATGTGTTTCTGTGTATGAGGTATGGACGGTCTTCTTCGTTGTGAGTGATTGATGGAGGGGTTTAGAAACCATAGACTTGCCTTGTAACTCTTGCAAAGAGAGAAGGGTGGGGCTCTTCGTTCCGGGTCGCGATCTCTTTCCCTACACATATGGACCCTGAACTTAATCGAACATCTGACAATTACGCAAGACTTTAGTTCTGGTTAACCGAGATTAGACAAACGTTTTGGCAACTGAACGTGGCCCATGTGATCGATGGGAGAGATGGTTAGAGATGTGAGAGATAGTGAGAGATGGTGGAGAGATGGTGAGAGGGGGGTGCGTGAACAGACCTCTAGCTCCCCCAGTAGGTTACTGTAGGAGAATGTGGCTGCAGATAGAGGAACATGGAACGCTGACTGTGGTCCCTTTATTGTGAAAGTTGATAGGCATGTCGTAGCAACGCAGGGTTTGTGGTTCGATTCACGGGGGGCCATATAAAAAAAAAAAATGTATTCACTAACTGTGGAGTCCTCTGGATAAGAGCGTCTGCTAAATGACTAAATGTAAATGTAATGTGACTATCCTCGACATATGGGTAGAAGAGGTCTCTCCCATACTCTCCCAGTATGGCCCTTCTCAAAGCGCATCTAGTCCACCGCTGAGGAAAGCTTCTCTGGTGAGGAGTCCTGGGCCACGCCATCAGCATAGTAGTCCTGTGGTGAGAAGGTTCCACCGAGTGAAGTGGAGGGATCCAGGCGATGCAGGCTGATGGCCATGTGGGCTCCCAGGGACTCCAATCCCGTTGTTCAGGACGTCAGTGGTCAGAGGGTGTAAAGGGAGCTGCCATCTTTGCACACTTGTATTCACCCAAAATTATCCTTATGTGCTTTAATCTGCTGGGACTTCGTGCCCGCTGATTTCAAGTCGACCCAAACAAGTTTTCCCCTCTATGATAAGTAATGGCATTTATGTGAATGAACCCATGTTTGGACTGCAGTTCGGCCATGCGTTGCCGCCTGAATACCTCCAATTAGGCGTCTGCCCTTGGTACATGTTGACCGTCACACTCCACACATACGGTAATGTATATAAAATTTTGACAGTCACACTCCCACATACGTTATGTATCGAATGTTGACAGTCAATCCACACATTACGGTATGTATATAAATGTTTGACAGTCACACTCCACACATACGGTCAATGTTATATAAATGTTGACAGTCACTCTCCACACATACGGTATTAATATGTGACAGTCCCACTTCCAACAAACGTTGTATATCAATGTTGACAGTCACTCCCACACATACGTATGTATATAAATTTTGACAGTCACTCTCCACACATCTGTAATGTATATAAATGTTTGACAGTCACACTCCACACATACGGGATTATATAATGTGACAGTCACACTCCACACATACGTATGTTATAATAAATGTTGACAGTCCACACCCACACATACGGTATGTATATGAAATGTTGACAGTCACTCTCCACACATACGGTATGTATATAATTTTGAACAGTCAACACTCCACACATACGTATGTATATAAATGTTGACAGTCACTCTCCCACATACGGTATGTATATAACTGTTGACAGTCACACTCCTTCCACACAACGGTATGTATATAATATTGACAGTCACACTTCCACACATACGGTATGTATATACATGTGGACAAGTCAACACTCACCATAGGTAAATTATATAATGTTAACCGTCACACCTCCACACATACGGTAGTATATAACTTTTGGGACAGTCACACTCACACATACGTATTTATATAAATTTGACAGTCCCACTCCACATCATACGGTATGTATAATAACTGTTGACAGTCACACTCCACAACATACGGTATGGATTAAATGTGACAGTCACACCACAATACGGTATGTTATAAATGTTGACGTCACACTCCCCACATAAACGGTATTTATAATAAAGGTTGACAGTCACCTCTCCACACATACGGTATGTATATATGTTGACAGTCACACTCCACAACATAGGTATGTAAATAAATGTTGACAGTCCTCTCCACACATCCGGTATGTAATAAATGTTTGACTTCAACTCTCCAACAATACGGTATTTTATAAATTTTGACAGTCACTCTCACACCATCGGTATGATATAAATGGTGCAGTCCCACTCCACACATACGTATGTATATAAATGTTGACAGTCCACACTCCACACTACGGTATGTAATAAATGTTGACAGTCCACACTCCACCCATCAGTACCCTCACTAACCACAATAAAGGAAATGATGTTAGGAGCTTTTAACGCTGACTCACTGGTGTTTCGGTAGCTTTTTTATCACCACTGTTTAATGAACAGAGTTTATGTTTCAGATTAACAATTTTTTATTAGTCTTTATTCCAATATTTTATATCAAAACTGTAACCCACCGTCAAATCTGTTATTACTTTACTTTTTTTACAGTATTTTCTCCTATTCTTTATTTATATATTATTATTATTATTAATATTATTATTAATTATTTTATTATTATTATATGTTTCTACTTCTTCTTCTTCTTCATCCCCAGAGTGCTGACAACACAGGCAGACAGGACAACAAATGGCCGTCGGACGACCTCGAGAAAAACGTTAGAGAATTAACTGTCGTACATAGTAGAGTATTATTTACAGGTCAACTCCTCTTCTGCTACAATTCAATTCATGTAGGAAATAATCATTGGCATGGAAAATTCAAGGGAAAAATGTGAATTTGTCTCCTATTTCAAGGTAAATTTTTTGGGGGGTGGATTTCATTCAAATAGACCATGGATGGGCCACTTTGCATAGGGGTGGGGGCCACAAAACATCAAACTCATCATGAGGGCACAGTGGCTCGCGGGCTGCGTTCTTAAACTACTAATAATAATAATAATAATAATATGCCATTGAGCAACATTTTAGCCAAAGCGACTTACAGTCATGTGCGCATACCTTTTTAATGTATGGGTGGTCCCCAAAAGGGGATCGAACCCCTACCCTGGTGTTACAAGCTCATGCTCTACCAATTGAGCTACTCTACCTGTCATACCCCCCCCCCCCCCCCCACCACCCACCACCACCCCCCCCACCCCCACCTCCACCTCCACCACCACCTCATCACCAACACTACCACCCGACACTACCCGGAGGCCGAGCAGCGGCTTGTGTGGTTGATGGTTGGTGGGGGGGGTGTGGGTTTTGTGATGGGCTGAAAGGTGGTGGGTGTTAGGGGTGGGGGTTGGGTGGTGTTGGTGTGGTTGGCCACCAAAAAAGCAGATGTGCCCGCGTCTGCGTAACCCTCGACAACACTCCAATCACGAGCAGAAAACAGATCCACCCCCCACCTCTTCCACTCATGTGGGTCACCCTCCCCAACCCGCGGTTTCCACTAACACAGCTGATGCTGTTACACGGCGTGGGGTTTACTCTTTCTAGTTTTTTTTAGCGTTGCTGTTAGGTGTTTTTGCATACCCGCAGACACCCCACCCCAATAACCAGTTCTACACATATTTGGCCATGAGGCTTGTAGACATGTAATTACATGGTCACCAAAAGTTTATAAGCACATTTCCACATCCCTACGGTGCAATTCTGTGAGCAACATTTTCAATGGGTCCAACAAAAAGGGTGTAAATAGAAGAAAGTGTTTAATATATATCTGAGTGAGACTGAATATCAATCATGGGGGTAGCGGCACCCCCGTGGCCTGGTCATTTGACTATTACTACATTTCCCTATCTGGTAGGTGCTGCTAGACTCATTTAGCAATCTGACCGGTTAATTAATCTGATGACTATCAGTGACTGACCACAACTAGAGCACAACTGCTGAATAAAAAAAAAGCGCAAAAGAGCTCCGAATCTCTAAATTGTCACTTGGGTATTCTACTAAGGGGAAAAAAGGGGGGGAAACTACCGCTTTAATGGGATAAAGCGTCGGCTACATTGGCATATTAATCCGTTATTATATTAATACTGGCAAGTGCGTGGAGACCCACGACTGAGTTTCAAAACCAATAGTATATATAATATTAAACTGTCGTTTTATTATGAGGTTGTTGTTATTGATCTGACAAGGGGATGACCCCTAGAGAATATGCAAAAACCGCGCATTATATGTTTTTGTATATTTATCCGAGGGCCTTCAAGACGTACATTCCCACAGAACGAATGTCGCAGAAAGGAGAAATCAGCTCTGGCTGCATTAGACATATACAACCCTGTGGATCTACCTGACTGATCCCACCTGTTCGTCCTGCGTATGACTGCTATACACTCTGTGGATCTACCTGGACTGATCCGCACCTGTGCGTCCTCTCTATGTTGCTAACTGCAGTATTCGACCCCTAGAATAACTAGTTCTTCCACCCTGTGGATTTAACTGACTGATCCCACCTGTTTGCCCTGCAGTAGACCTAGAACTCTGTCTCCTGGAATTTTACCTTACTCCTCCCCATCACCAAGCGCTCCCCACTGTTCGCCCCTGCATAGACTATACAAACCCTGTGGATCTAGCCTGACTGATCCCACCTGTTCGTCCTGCAGTAGACCTCTCACTCTGTGGATTTACCTGCCTGATCCCACCTGTTCGTCGCAAGGAAGTGATGGATCTAAAGACAAACAGAAAACCCAATACCAACACTCCCAAACCCCCATGACCGACCCACCTATCACACCATCAACACATAAAAACAAGTCACCAGAAAACAAAGTATAAACAAAGTAAATAACCAATAACGTATACATAATATAACACACAAACTCACCTCATCTCATGGCTAGCTCACGATGCTAAGTCAGAGCAAGGAACTCGTGTCTCTTGCTTAACGTAGCACGACGTGAGATCCCGAAGTCTTGCGTTCCTTGACCTCTGTGATGCCGAGAGTGATCTCTAGGCGTGTAGTCCAGTGAGTAGCCCTGGTGCAGTCGGAGTTCTGGGTAGGGGGAGCCTGAAATAAATAACAATATATAACTCATATACGCCATTAGCAGACGCTTTTATCCAAAGCAGGCTTAACAGTCTGGCATAATATACATTTTTCGTGAGGGTGGTCCCAGCGGTAAATCGAATCCACAACCTCTCTTCTGTTTCCCTGCTTGGCGTTTGCAAGCGCCATGCTCTATCACAAACTGTATTGGTCTAATTGGTTTTCACAAAATGGACGTTTTGTCTTTGTCGCTTTGTTTGCGTTCCAGGGTAAAACACAACATAAACAAAAAAAAGACATATAACATGCCACACCGTATGTTTGAATGTAGTGACAGAGGATGTGTGCCTGGTCCTCTCCCACTGGACAGACAGCAATGGGATGTCTGGTGGTCGTACATATCTGTAGGAGAGCATGGGAACTTGGGTAGCTGTGGTTGACCCGGCTGAGAAGCAGGACTTTAACTGTCCCTGCCCTAGGTTTCAGAGTCCTTCAGATCCCCACCCCACGCAGACCCCAATAGCCCAGGGCCTCTAAAACACTGAACATACAATCCAAAGTTACTTGGTTATCGAACGCTACTCAAAAAAAAACGTTTACTCGAAACTGATAAAAAAAAAGGGTATTATGAATTACAAAACATATTTTATGCACAACAAAAATACAAAGTGTACATAGTAATTTATCACACACAATTTTGTAATGAAAGAAAAAGAAAACAGTCTCACCACCCCACACAGGATACAGGTATCAGCAAACACCACCTACATAGCAACTCCCAACATCACCATCCCTGAAAAACGACAACGCGCATCACAGACA